TAATGGAATCGATAGAACTTCGACGTTGGTCTGATTGCAGTTTGCGTTTGAAAATTCGCACGAAATCTGAATGACGAAGAATGATCATATTTTTGTATCATGTGTAATGTTTTTGTGTTATGTCTCGTGTTGGTTGCCTTTTGTTTAACGTGCACGCATATCAATAAAGCGCACGAGGAAGGAAGGAAAGGGAGGGAAGAGGGAGGGAAGCAAGGGTAAGAGAAAGAGTAAGAAAGGGATGGCGAAGAGCAAGGGTAAAAGTAAGGGAGGGTGGGTGGCAATTGTAAGGGTAATGGAGAAGGGTGGCAAGTGTAAGGGTAATGGAGAAGGGTGGCAAGTGTAAGGGTAACGGAGGAGGCTGGAGGAGGTCCGAGGGTGACAAGGGTAAGGGTAAGGGAGGAGGATGACAAGGAAGGGTAAGATTAAGGGAGGGAGCGATGGAAGGGTGGAGGGATCGGGAAATTCAGGAAAAGTAGGGCAGAAAGAAAGAAGATGGGGATAAGCAGGATAGGCAGGGAAGAGCAGGGAAGATAAGGGAAGGGTGAGGGATGAGAGGTAGAGAAGGGTAGGATCAGGGGCGGAGTAGATCAGGTAAAGTGGGTGTGAAGAGAAAGTGCAGTCCGAAAAACGGAAAGCGGGAGGAAAAAAAACAAGAAATCAGAGCCAGATCGAACCTAAGGGGGTGATCCGAGTCCAGTAAAGTTGCCTTGAGAGTCGTTGATGAACCCTGGAACTGAAAACGCCGCCAAAGTAAACCAAGGGGCGTCGGACGAGGGGGAGGAGTAGGGGAAGGAGAAGCTATACAAAGGGTACAATGGCAGAGGGGGATGAGAAAGCATGGGCAGGGGACACGCTGCCCTATACATACATACAAGCGCTGTGGCTGTGCCCACTGGAGTCACCACGTCAACGTTCATTCTTGTGAGCAATGCATGTGTAGTGACTCGAACGAAGGCGGGAAGGTTCTCAGTCATAGCCGAATGCCCGCCTCATGGGTCAGTGAGAGTGCTCGTGATCGGAGCAGTTCATGACATTGATACATCGATATGTCGCAAAGATCAGAATTTCTAAGAAAGAACTCCGGGTGTGCGGATGAGGTTTCCAAGGCAAGTTTTGGCGGAGAAAGAAACGGGTCGTGAATGCCAAAGACTTGAAGTCATCGCGTGGGGTAAGATCTACGAAGTGTTGATTGAAAAATGAGAACAAATGATACGATGGTGAGATGGTGGCATTGACCACTATGAGAACTCAAACTTGCCTAATGGAGAGTTCCGACAGAATGTTGGCGTTCCTTGTATGATTCATAAGTGCTGGCTTGCCATGAGAAAGGGTTGGGAATGCCAAAGTTGATAATGATGCATCTTGAAGTCCGCTTAAAATGTTCTCATGACTGATGTCAAACGAGTACTAGATGGATGTGCATAATGCTGAAAGCTATAGTATGTGCATTATTCAATATTGCTCAATGTTCAGATGGTATTCCACCCACTGCTTGTCACTTGGTCTGCAAACTGAAAGACAGTCTTTGACATAGATTCGGTCAGAGTAAACCTTACATAAGGTGATCAGTCTCTCAGGAGTCGCACATAGTTGGCACATTGGTAACATTCCTGTTCATACAGTTGAGGTTAAAATGAGTGAATATTGATGCATCACAAACCCACTAAGTACTTTCGAGGAATCATTCTAACCGAACGGTGGCACCTGGCCTTCCACATGCGAAACAAGTCTCTCGAGTGCAGTAGCAATGCGGGAGAGGTTAAAATCAATCGAAGTCAACCGTTGAGCGGGGTCTCCAGGAACCTGAGGTTGAGCTGAAGGTGAGGTAGGAGAGACAGGAGAAATGATTGGTTTGGGAGGAACGACCGGCTTGAAATCGTCGAAGGCATCATCCGTAACGATCTGTTGCACTGGATACGGTTCCAGTTGGGCCAGCTTGACGAATTCCGTAGCATAGCTGATCGGACGCTGCTTATCCACACACTCTCCGTACGGAGGGCACAACACGTAGCCAAGACACCCGAGCCTTTTCTTCTCCACTGACTTTCCCTCTTTCACCATGATTTTGAAGGCATAAACTCGGCGGCAAAAGAAGTCGATGAGCGCCGATGCAGCCCACTCCCACGTCCCATAATCCTTCTCCTGTCCAATCTCTAAATCAACCTCTGTCTTCCCAGTTTTCAGCGCCCGATATACAATTTTCTCAAGGCGCTTCGTCTCAATCTCATTCCCAGCAATCTTCACCACGCCAGTCCCACCAGCGTCACATTTCTCCACCCGGATACAATGGCGCTGCAGGATAAGTGGGTCATCAAAGAAGAACTCCCCAATATCGTTGGCGCCAGATTTGTTGAAAGGGTATGGCTTAAAGACATATTCGAGCACAAGCGAACATTCCTCGCCTTCGATGTCTTCCAGAGTGATTTTGATCCGGATAGGCCTATGACGTGCAACGATAGCGTGATTCCACCATTTGACGTCAAGCTTCACATCTTCCTCTGACCTCGGCACAGCCGCCTCAAATTTCAGAGACCACGACTGGCGTGGCTCTATAGTAATAGGCAGCTCTGCACGATCTGTGAGTTTGAGGGCCTCACAAGGGTTGTAAGTGGGATCCCCAACTAAGCGATAGGAAGCAGAGGCAGAGGCGATAGTGATGGGGTTGTTCGAAGCCGCAGCGTTGTTATTGAACATGGACACGACACCTTGAAAGTAATCCACCTTCGAGCTCGCTAGTTCTGGATTGGCTTTCAATGGTGGGTCCAACATCGTTTTGAGAATTACGCGGAGGGCCGGAGACGTTTTGGTCTTGAAGTTGGTACGGGGAGGGCGAACCTGGATGTCGCTGATCTCTGGTCCTGCTCGGATGGTAGCAGGGAGAATGTAGGGTGAGGCGGGTGTGTACGATCGCATCCCTCCTTCGGAAAGAGTCATTATGTCGCCTGACTTCGTTCCCTTGGCCATGTCAATGGGACAAACGCGGACATATGGGTTCGTCGATGTAGCAGATTTGGCTGTGAGCCTGACACCTGTGATCTTACCGGAAACAGATAGGATCCATTCGGCCATGGCGAACTCACTCTCGCTGGTTGAGGTTCGAAAGATGAGAGTCCGCCGACTAAGACGAACAGATCTTGTGATCGTTTCCATCTCCTTGGCAGTGAACGTGTTGAAGTAGTATGGTTCGGTGTACCAGATTGTACCAACGCTGATAAGGATGGTTGCTTCATCCAGGCGTTCACCACGAGATACCCAGCGCAGAAGCTGGCCAACAGATGCCTTCTTCACTCCGTCATCCTCAAGGTTGGTGTCCTCAACAGATGCCCATTCGTCAACAGTGTCAACGTATCCTGTGATAGCTCTGGCACGCGGGAAGAATGCACCATAAGGATATCACAGTGATGCTTTGCACGATGGGGTTGAAATTGACATGGGTGGCCCGTACCACAGCAAGGATAGCTTTGCCCCCATGAATCATATTCCCCGCGATGGAAAGAGCAAGACTTGAGTCTGTTGGTGGCATTAGTGAACTCCTTGTCACATTGCACACAGTGGAAACGCTGCTCGGACTCAGCGGCATTTAGCTCTGCAACCAAACCCTTGAAACCATCAAGAACGGCGGAGTTAACGTTATCTTTCAAAATGACTTCCAGACGGGCCTGATTTTGCTGGATGATGTCTGTGACGTTGGCGTTCAGCTGGTCCATCACGGTGTCGTCCATGACGAGGTGCTGCTGCTGTGCAAACTCTTTGACGAGCTCCCTATCGTGCTGTATTGCCTCAAGACTGCCATGTTCCGCGACGAATGTCTCCGCCGCCTTGTCGTCGTCGTCAATCGGGATGTCGCGAGTAAGGATTTCGATTTTGCTCGATTGGTGAATTTGAAGGCTGAGCATCAGGTCCTGGCAGCAAGTGTTGACACTATGAGCGGTAGTGGTAAACTTGTCCCTATTAGTGATGCTGAGTCGGCGGGCAACGGTGCTCTGCCTTCGGTATGAGGTTATCAGTGCTGCGGCCTGTTTGAGCGATTCGATCATGCGGTCGATGACTTGCCGTGTGGCAGGCATGACCTCCATCGTCCTCAGAAGAGGGATGTGGCTCAGCATGAACGTGATTCGTTCGAGGAGATCGTTACACTTGGCATCGACATCTTGAGCTCTCTGCTCGATGTCAACGATGACTTTTAAAAGGACAAAAGCGGGGCTGATGAATGGCAATGCCTTGCCGACATCGGAAAGCTGGGATAAGACTTGTAGGGCATTGTCCAAGAAGGGGTTGTTTAGAATGGGCTCCGCAGTGTTCGTTGCCACAGCATTTAGTGAAGTTGACCTGATTGGTGCCATTTACAATGACTTTTGAGTATCAGAGAAAAGGAGAGGATGCCATTGAGATGATACGCACATCCGCTATGCACAACTTTCGGGCTTGAGCCTGTAAGTGAAATTATTTCCTTCGAAAGATATGAATTCGGCAAACTTGATTCCACGTTGATATCGACTGAAGGATGTCGATGGGTGCTCGTCGTCGGGGAGAGACTTTGGCTGGGAGGCATGTCAAATACGTGGTGACAGCCTCCTACCCATTCGTTGCGCCGTGGTTGAGTCATCTGAGGTGTGGGCGCGGTGTCTTATCCTAGTGATTTAGGTAGATTAGTAATACTGATAAGAATGATCTGACATAACACCGACAACTTTAATCTGCTCACACGTCGCGTTCAACTTATGTCAGCACGCTTGGGCAGTGCGCTATCCAAGCGCTTACTCACC